CCCAGGTAGGTCTCGAACCTGTGGGCTCAGGCAGTCCACTCACCTCAGCCTCCCAAAGCATGGGATTACAGGCTGAGCCACCGAGCCCAGGTCAAATCTAGATCTTTTAAACCAGAATCCAAGTTCCTAATTATCACACATTTTGTGTTAGCATGATTTTTGTTTGTATGTTTACTTATTTTTGAGTCAGGGTCTCATGCTGTTGCCCAGGCTGGAGTGCAGCGGCATGCTCACAGCTCGCCACAGCCTTGACCTCCCAGGCTCAGGCAATCCTTCCACCTCCACCACCCACCCCACCCCACTCCACCCAAGTAGCTGGGACTACAGGCACATGCCACCACACCCCGCTATTTTCTTTTCTTTCTTTTTTTGGCAAAGACCAGGTTTTGTTCTGTTGCCTTTGCTGGTCTGGAACTCCTGGGCTCAAGTGAACCTCCTGCTTCAGCCACCCAGAGTGCTGAGATTTCAGGCGTGAGCCACCATGCCCAGCCTAGCATAATTTTTTAAAAGGATCAAAGTTTAGCTTATAAGTTTACATTGGGTTGGTAGTGCATTTCCATGGTCCAAATAGCGAAACCAAAGGTATTCAGTGAAAAATGCTTCCTCTTTCCTGAAAGCAGCTACAATCACCTGTTTCTCATGGGTCTGTCAAGAGCTATCTTTTGCACACCCAGGGAAATGCATGCAAATATTCTTTTTATTGTTAAAAAAACCAAACAGCACATCAGACATATTGTTCTGTGCTTTGCTTAAAAATGTATTTATGGGGACCTTCTCTCAGCTTTTTCATTTTAAAAAAATGAGTTCGCCTTACATCAGCTTTAACTCAAGTCAGCGGTTCAGAGTTCTGATGTTAAGTGTTCTCTAAAAACAGAAGCAAAACCACTCGAGGATTGAATGCTAAAAACAGTGGACGTTTCGCTGAGGCCCCTTTCTCCACTCCTTCAACTCTCTGGGTCTGGGTTCCCTTTTTTCTTTTTTTGGCCCGTAAGAGTCACTTTTCAGCTCCCTCCGGTTGGGCAAGGAGAGGCGACCCCAGAGGCGACCACCTTCCCCACAGGAAGGGCCCTGCTAGGGTTTTCCTGCTCCACCCTGAGAGGAGGGTTTGAACATAATTGTAATGTTCGAATGAACATGTGTGGGCCTGAGACTCCATCTGCATTTTAAGCACTGACACACCTATTGCACTAAAGGCATCGTCTCCCGTGGACACTTGCTTCTGTGTGTCACTGCCAGCATGTTTGTTAAAGCAAAAAGAATTTAACAACGAACAACGGTCATGTTACTTGCAATCACAACCCACACGCTTCTTGTGTCTTTGAAAAACGAATCTGAAAGTGATGAGTTCAAACAACCACACGTGACGGCATCTGGGCATCCTCCGCCCTGGCCAACCTCCAGCCGGATTCGGGTGAGACAATCGACAGACCGGAGAGCCAGGTCAATCTGCTTAGGCCAAAGATGCCCCAGTCTTCTTTCACTGAATTTGAAGAGTCCCTCCCAGGACCTGCAGAACTCCCGTGGTCTCTTTTCAAGGTCAGCATTATTTGAATATGTAGGTTCTGATGAACAGATGCTTGTGTGTTTTCACGGTCACCTCTCAGGTAATAATGCACGGCCCTTCCTCTCCTCAATTCATTTTCTCTTCTGGAAGCATAGTAAAAAAATAATAATAATTTGCATTCTTGTTACTTCATATTATGTAAATAACTTATTCGGCTATTGGATCAGTCAAGCAAACATTTGCAAAGATCCTACAGATTATTTTTTGGAAGGAAGACATGCTTAGCTTGTCTTTTAACTTTTTCTTTTTGTTTATTTAATGAGCAAGTGTGGTGAACGAAATCCCAAGGTTGGCAGTAGATAAGTCTGGGTTTTCTTAGCCCCGGCCACTGGCTTAGTTAAGTTAGTGGGAGAGCAGAGGGAATGAAGGTTGAAAAGATTATTCTTGGCCCAGACTGTTTTCAAAAGAAACACTGTTGCTTTTACACAGGTCAAATTCACGTTGACAACAAGTTGAGGGACATGCAGTACCAGATGGACCCAGGCCAGAGGGTGAGGGGGGACTTCTCACACACCTCTTCCTCAGCCAGGAGCTCACACTGGAGGAGATCTACGCCAACGTGACCGAGATGCTGCTGGCCGGCGTCGACACGGTGAAGCCACGGGGACCAGCTTCTCAACACGTGAAGTGGGGCTGTCCTTTCCTCGGGATCCCATGGGAGTCGGCTGCTTTCAAGGCATACGTTTAGCACCCTGGCATGTTTCACAGGCTTCAGGCCTGCGGCACTGCTGAAGGCCTCCTGGAGAAAATGACATCTATGGTCCCGTGCTGCTTAACCACGGGAATACATTCTGAAAAATGCCTCACCAGGGGATCTTGTTGTGCAAACTCGTGGAGTGCACTTACACGAGCCGGGATGGCCACGTCCCTAGGCCACACGGCACAGTCCGTTGCTTCTAGGCTACAGGCCTGTACAGCCGGTGACTGCACTGAAGACTGTGGGCGACTGTAACGCAATGGCGAATATTTGTGTGTCTAAACACAGATAAAGGCGCCGTGAAAATGCAGTATTATCATCTTACACACACTGTGGTCTGTGCAGCCCCTCCTTGACTGAAACACTGTTGTATGGTCCAAGCTGCATGTAAAACGTATAACTGAGGTGCGTGGTGATTCCTGTGAAAAGCATAGCCACAGTCCGATGATCCCCCACACACAGTAGCAATAGGTTTTAAAGTTTAGTGGCTTATTTTTCTCAGGAGAGGGTTTTACTGTGCGGCCAAGGCTGGCTTCTACCTCCTGGGCGCAGAGGGTCCTCCCACCTCAGCCTCCTGAGCAGTTGGGGTTGCAGGTACATGCCACTGTGCCCGGCTGAAGTTCTCAAGTTGAATAACTGTTCCTGATTTGCAGACATTTCGTCTATTGTTTCATGCTCTCATACCTGAAGCAGGAACAGACGTTGGAAGCCATATGGTTTATCATTTAAGATAGTCTAGACCATGGAATTTGTTTTATAAATTCAGCAGTTTGTTTAATTCACCCCCAATTCGTTTTATAAAGCCAGTATAGTCTTCAAACCACAACCTGCTAAAGAAAGTAGAAAGAAAATGTAAACAGTTCAGCTAATGAGTATGCGTGTCTATAGCAATTTCAGATAAAATCCTAGGGGGTAGAATCCATTAACGTAGTGAATGAATGAAAAACTATCAGCATGGAACAGAGCACTCCCAATGGACTTGGGGGGGATTCCACAGGCTACAAAGCAAGACATGAAAAGGCAGACAGGTGTGTGCACTGTATTCCCAAGGTAGGGCACACCACCCCGCCTGTCTCTGCAGGTGCACATCTGTAGGTGACAGCACGAGTGTGCATCAGAGGGTGTGGGTGCACACTTGGTGCTGGGCCTTCACAGGGGTTCCTGGCTGGCTGGGGGTGGCAGGGTCCAGGGGGCCTGGGAGCCATGTGCCCTCCAAAACATGTGATAGGATACACTTATCCGTGTGTGGAAAATGGCATATCTGTGCCTACAGGAACAGAGCAGCTTTAAAACCTGCGAAAAGGAAGTGGTGAAATCGGAAAAATAGGCTTGTGCTTTTAGTCACTGGTGGAAGCAAGTCAGTGGGATGAAAGTTCTGGCAGGAAGGGGCCTGCTTGCAGAGTGGAAATGCAGATGGCACGGGGCTTCCCTGTTTCCAATGCCCCTCCACACGCGCACTGCAGTCTCACAGCTTCCTCTATGTCGGGCTCATTGGCTTCACTTAACAGGTGCAGAAACTAAGCAACCCAGCTGGGCACCTCAGACCTTTTCCTTTGCACGAGTGCTTTCCAGCCTGTAAGACGTAGGCCTCCATTTTAAAGGGACGAAAAGTCCCAGGGCTGATTTGTCTTCTTTCTATTATGATGTAACATGTCAAAGCAAACAAAACAAAACAAAACAAAACAAAACAAAAGCATACACTCCTATACTTACGGATCTTCCTCAACAAGGAAACAAAAAGTATATGAGTTCAATGCAAACCATCAACGAAAGTTCTAATTAACTGTGTGAATGTGACGGATTTGTTCAAATTCAGCCCCCCCTCGAATGGTGAAGGAATGAATGAATGAATGGCCTTGCTGCTGAGCTGATCTGGACATACTTGCACCTCCTGCCCCCTGGCGGTATCTAAGAGCATCACCACGAGGCGCTGTACGGAAGGGAGCTGGGCCCTGGCAGCCTCCTGGGATCGAAGCCAGGAGACGCCTGCTGACAACTGCATGCTGATTTTTGAAAGTCAGCTTCGTTGCGGCAGGACTTATGCACGATCAGCTGCACCCGCTTAAGCTGCGCCATTCGACGCAGATTGCCGACGGATGCAGTCACTTAGGAAAGCTCCGATGGAATCATAGTCCGTGTCCTTTTGCTTCCTTCACCGGCAGAGTGACTGTTTCATCCGTGTGGCATCCGTGATGGATCCTTCTTTATTGCTGAGCAGCATTCATGGTAGAGGTAGAGCACATTTTGCCTTTCCATAAAAATGGGGTCGTGGTAGAAATTTTCTGTTCTCTTAATAGTCTCCTAGTCATTTATAATGAAGAGCTTGCACACTATGTTATCTATGACAGGATCTCCTGGGCTCAGGTGATCTTCCTGCCTTAAAATTTTTTTTAGAGATCTCACGATGTTGCCTAGGCTGGTCTTGACTTCTGGGCTCAAGCAATCGTCTCACCTTGGCCTCCCTAAGTGCTGGGATGACAGGTGCGAGCCACTGTGCCCGGCCTACATGTCATGTCATTTACAAGGAAATTATATCAATTCTGCCTGCTTTCGTTAGGTTTTTTTTTTTTCATGTTAGCAGTTTTTAATGGAAGTTGTGTATAAGATTACGTTATTCCTGCATCTTCTCAATGGTTTCTTCTTTGTATTTGCCTTTTTCCTTTCCTACTTGGCGAGATTTGGCTTTCCGTTCAAGGATCTTTTTGCGGTCTTTGTCCAGTTTAAGCCTAGTGATAACCACCTTGCTGGGGTGAATGCCCACATGAACAGTTGTGCCATTTGCCTTTTCCCGCTGCACCCGTTCAATGTAGATGACATATTTTTTCCTGTCAACCTGGACTGCTTTGCCAATTTGCTGACCTTTATAGTGACCTCGCACAACCTGAACTTCATCATCCTTTCGGATGGGCACGGATCGAACATTGTACTTCTGTCTCAGCTCCTTGGAGAGAGGGGAAGACATAATCCTCCTGCGAATGTGGGAAGGCGCATTGAAACACCTTTTGCGGTTCTTGCTTCGGCTGAAGTCACAACGGGATTGAACTTCATTCTGGCCGCAGCCGCTTTGGCGATGGCCTCCAAAAGAGAAAGATCTAGTTTTATTTTGAATGAAAGAAAGGGCATTTCCTCGTTTTCAAGAGAGTGAAATATAGTCACACAGAGGACAGAATCAATTTGAGTGAAAATCTCGGAACCGAGGAGAATAAACTAGAATTACTCTCAGTAACAGGAAATGTGGCTCTTCGTCGGAGGCATGGTATGAAAAACGACTCAGCTTCGCACAGATGAGCTCCGTGTCAGCTTGACAAGCGCACGCATACCATGGCTGAGTGGTGATCCCCTGTGTGTTCCCCCTCTCTGGATGAGGGCGGCCAGAGTGGGCCGGGCCCAGCCATCTTGGGCCTGCGAGATGGATGCTGGTGGGTGGCCCTACCTCCTTCCATACAAAACTGGTAAGCCCTGCAAAGGTCACAAGAAGTTCCGGCAGAGCTTCCGGGCTCCCCAACATCCTCTGTGTCTTTCAGGCTCCACTGAAGAGGGGGCATATTGCTCTTCAGTAGTTAAAAGGAGTTCCAAGACAATTTTTCCTGTGGTTCTTTTTTTTTTTTTTTTTTTGAGTCGGAGTCTCACTCGGTCGCCCAG